AAAAGAACATTTTGAATGCAGTATATTAGAGAATTCAACCACGAATTCATAGAGTTATCCCACGTCTAAATCGGGATTCAATTACCGAAGTTATGAAATTTGGAACTGCAGTTTTGGGTCCCATTCTGGAGAAAAAATGTAACATGAAAATGGGCTAAAATTTAGACCCTCCTATAAAAGAACATTTTGAATGCAGTATATTAGAGAATTCAACCACGAATTCATAGAGTTATCCCACGTCTAAATCGGGATTCAATTACCGAAGTTATGAAATTTGGAACTGCAGTTTTGGGTCCCATTCTGGAGACCATTGGAAATACGAAAAAATCTAACATGAAAATGGGCTAAAATTTTGACCCTCCTATAAAAGAAATATTTGAATGCAGAATATAAGAGAATTCAACCACAAATTCATAGAGGTATCCCACGTCTAAATCGGGATCCAATTACCCAAGTTATGAAATTTGGAACTGCAGTTTTGGGTCCCATTCTGGAGACCTTGGAAATACGAAAAAATCTAACATGAAAATAGGCTAAAATTTTGAACCTCTTATAAAAGAACTATTTGAATGCAGAATATTAGAGGATTCAACCACAAATTCATAGAGGTATCCCACTTTAAAATCGTGGTCCAATAACCCAAGTAATGGATTTTAGAAGTGCAGTTTTGGGTTCCATCGTGGAAGCTATTACATTGGGATAAATATAAGTACATAGTGGAAGAGAATCATTGAATTTTTCATTTAATTAAGAATTGCCACCGCTCAATATATATAACTCCCCTTTGAATTTGGGCATCGCAAACCCTCTTCAAGAAACACCGAGTTGTAGAGAATAGACAACACATCCTTGCCTCGAACGCCAGTTGTCCTTGATATCCCGTAGAAGTCTGAGCCAAGTCAAGTCGATGTGGTGGATGTTTCTGGCTTCTTTCTGGGTTCTGTATTCTAAATTCTAGGTTTCGGGATTCGGCTTGGGTTTCGCTTTTTGGCTTTGTCGTCGCTCGCTTTGACTTAAATGCGATTTAATGCCTTTTTTGTTTGTCTTCCATGCGTCGGAAATCCGTTCGACGAGCTGTGGGCGTGATAAACCACATCCTCCCCTAGCCACCCATCTCCGCCCACTTTCTGGGCTGCTAATTTGCTTGGCGTTGTATTTTTTTATGTCTCAACTTTGCCTTGCCGTCTTAATCTTATATCCTTTTCGCGTTTTCCTTTTTTTCGGCTGGCTTGGCATTAAAAATATTGTGCGTCCTTTGTTGGGCTGATAAAACTGCTTACAAATGCTTAAAAAATTAAAATTTATTACATGCGATTAAGTTGGTTACGAAGGCCTCTCGACCTTTTAGAGTGGAGTGGCCTAAAAAATGCAAATGGAATGTCATCGCTTTGGCGCTTCAACATATTTCCGGGCATAACTTCTTCGTTTTTTTTTTCATTTGGACATTGGCCAATTGATTCATGGCCACACAATATCCTTTGCGTAATGGTCTTTCTGGGCCACCTTAAACAGTCAGACGTCAGCAAAATGAAATGGAATGTGAATGGTGGCCCGGAATGAAAGAAAAAGTACAGCAAATAAATATAAATATAGTAATAATGAAGCATTGGGCGAAAAAGAAGAAGAAGAAGAAAAGCCAAAGTCTGCTGCCGAAAGAAAATATTTCTTTTTATCACAACGGATGTGAGTGTGCCAGGACTGAAATAGCAAAGGATGGAGGAAGGACAGGAGATGGAGGTGGGGTTGGGGTTGGGTTTGGGATGTGGAAGTGGTGATAGAGTCTGGGGGCTGGGGTTACCTCCGCCAGCATCCTGTCAAATAAAACAAAAAATTCAACGCCTTGAGTAGTGTGATTCTAGTACTTGGTTCGGTTGAATGGTGAAAGGAAGAGCATAGTATTCGCTGTTTTTTCGGTTGCACCGTTAAAAAATATACTAAATTCAACGTGTAAAAAAATTCCATTATAACAATGTAAACCTTTTTGGTATTCTTGTATAAAAATTAATTTGAATGAATAGTAGAAAAAATTTATACAATGGATTCCTTAATGTTAGGTTATGAAGAATCCGACATATATAGAATAAGTTGTATAGGCATACCTATCCACTATCCTAATTATCATAAAGTAATTGGTAATTTAACTATATCACCTTATTTCGACTTTAAGTTAGAAATGTTCTAGTTCTAGTTCTAGTTGAAATTCATCTGTATTTAAGTTGATATTATTTCTGTCTGTGTATTTTTGTCACCACGATTCTGGCAGTTCTCAAACCCCCTTTCTATACACTTCCTTCACACAAAGCAATTCAAACAAACTTTTATTTCACACGTTTTTCGCTCTGCTATTTTTCTCCCTCACTGACTGCTTTCAATGTTTTTATTTGTCTTGAAACAAGTGAGTATAGCGAGATGATACTGATGATCGGAGTTCGGAGGTGAAGGGTCGCACGTGCTGCGCGTGTCTGTTAGTTTTGATAGCCAGTTGACTTCGCTTCTGGATCCCACCCAAGCAGTTGACCCGTTAAATTTCTTGATAATTGCTACATTAGATTTCTAAGTTCTGGGGGCAAGAGATTATTTTGAATTATATTTTTGAATTAAAAGGAATTTTCTATTTAAATATTTTAATAAAATATACCTCACCAATTTCAGTGAAGAAAATGTATGATACCATCAAATAGGTTAAAGACTCTTATAAAATAGAAAAACAGAAAAAGGTGAAAAACCAAATACTTTAAAAAAGTATACATGATGATTAGTAAAAACCTTTTACTCATATCTCAATAGAAAAATTTCTAACTAAACGCTTACTTTTTCCAAATAAAATCCATTATACTTTTAGGGGCAGTCTTTAAAAGTCAATTTATTTCAATTATTACCTCGTGATCTCCAAAGCATCTCGGCAATTTGTAAGTTCCCACAGTCCAGCAACTTCATGGATTGCCCTCTTGGGGGTGGCTCACTTTCCCCTCACAATTTCATTGGGCAAATATTGTTGTAGCATTTCGTAGAGTTTCGCACAAGTGATTTTCGGACTGAATGGAAGCTGCTGCCAGCTCTTTTGTCTGTGTTTAGGTGAGGTCAAAATGCAAACATTAAATGCTTATTCAAGTTCGAGTCTGTGACTGTTTCTGTGAATAGGGCCAGGACACTATAAAAACGACCTTGCGGGCAACAAAAGGCACAAGGCACCACGCCACGATGTCTGTGTGATTGTGAAAATGGGCAGACAATCAACACTTAAAAAAAATATATGTACAAAACTTTAAAGAAACATACAGTAATTGCTTTACATAAAAATTGTCATTATATGGCTATTTAATCCCTGATTGATTTGGGTTTTTAAGAGGTAGATACAAATTTAAATAAAATCAAAGATCCCTTATATTTATAAAGCGAACATTTCGGAATCTTGTTTATTTGAATCTCAAAATGTTAATACTTTATTTTATTTTTTTTCAAAATTCATTTCAATTTTCAATTTGTTTTTTAATGTTTCTTGCAATTAGTGCTTTAGAAGAAGTATCAATCTTTTATTTTTAGAAGGTTCTCCATAAGATCTTAATGCGATTTCATCTTTCTTTAAGTTTTGCAGAAAATCATAATGCTATCATAGAATTACCAAATTCTTTGTTTTGAAACTATGAATTTGTAAAAGGTTTTTTTTTAGTGAAAGTTAAAAGTAGGTTGGTGTGTGTGGTAAGGTGGCTGAGTTGGGTATGCCATCCTTGGTATTTGGCACTTCTTATCAGCAGTTTCGTTGCGTTGCAGCGTGGCATTTGTGTGACTTTTATGGGCGGCTTTTCAGCTGGTTACGACGCTGTTGCGATTCCTCCGTACCGCCACCCAGTCTATAAGTCACCCAGCCACCCAACCATCAAACCCCCCATCCCACCCATCCTCCCCCAAGTCCAATCATAGTGGTGGTTGCTGCTTTGTTTTGTCCTGCCTCAGACAAAAAAAAAGTGTCAATTGTTTTTGGGCCGAGAATTATTGACACGCCTCAACGGTGAGCGGTTCACAGTTGGTCGCTTAAACAAGTGGGCGTGAAGGAATCCCATTAATGACTATCGCCACCCTTCCGTAGAGCGGCAGACAGTCCTGGCCATCGCATCGCCACATCATCATCCATTCATCCCCGCGGCGTGTCGGCAATTTAAACTAATAATCAACGCATCAGCAAACATTGTCGTTATATTCAGAGGCCTGTGGCGTTTGGCAGTGACTCTCGACAGACTGCGAGCACTGATTTTCACTTACGTTTTCACCAGGTCTCCACATAGATGGGGTCAGGGGTTAAGCTATCCTACACATGTATCCATCCATCAATTCAAATATAGCATACAAGCTTTTTGTTTGCCTGAATTACCGTACTTTCATCCAGTGCGCTAGTTAAAAATCGTTTATTTTCTCACAGTTTTTAATTAATTTTCTGCTCTTTTTCGTTTATCACATTAAAGTATAGTTTTACAATCATATATTACATAAAATTGGACATGTTCTTGATGCCTTAACAAATCTAGTGTACTAAAGATCTAAAAAGCAAATTGTTTGGGTTCCGAAATTTGATAACAAAGTTTAGGGAATCTACAAATTATTAAACAATGAAAGAATTTAAAATCATGGCAGTAATTGAAAGATTTACCGAAACGTAATCTATCTCAATAACCTCATAGGGATATTTATTCTAAGCCCTATAACTTGATTTTATTAATCAAATAACAACAAATTAATAAAATTCTTAGCGCTAAAGGAAAATGAAATTAGTAATACTAATAGTTTGAGGAAAGTTAATAAACTCAATCGATGTATTATAACGTGACTAATAAATTTTGTATTGTAGCTTTAATTAACAAAAAAAGAATCGTTCATATAAATTGTTGAAGTCTGAGAAATTCCACATGTTAAATTTACGAATTTGAGATTTTAATTAAGATTTAGGATAGTTGCTCATCAAGCTTCTGAAGAAAGACCTCAATAAAGTCAATAAATCAATAAATCGGCATAGTCGCTTACCTATACCATATCTAAATAAGAACCTTAGCTGAACAGAACTGAAATCAGAACCCGGAACAAAACTCTTGCAGCAACTAAAGACACGCACAAATATTCGACTAACACTAGGCTCTAACATTAGGACTTTTAACTTGCGGGGCGGGGTGACCAAGTGGCCGATTCCGGAATGGATCTTTGGATGGGATCGATAGAGATTACCATCCAAATCCTCTGTTCTACACCCATCCTAGACCACGTGCTCTGCGGATGAGGAGGTGCCGGCGCCGAAGCGCAATGGAGTCGGTCAAATGATGTTGGGCGGACTGGCCGTGGTGGCAACTACCGCATTTGGAGAGGACTTCTCCGACTTGACGCATCCGTAGGATGAGATGCCGGTGCCGCTGCTGCTGGGCGGGGAGGGTGGTGTTTCCGGGCTGATCAGCGGCAGATACCGCCAGGGGTGATAGATGGAGCCGGCGTACATGGCCTGGAGGCGGGCCTGTAGATCCAAGGCCAACGTGGGATCCAGTGGATAGTGAGCGAGACCGGGAAAGGCGTTCGGCAGGCGGGGCAGGGACAACTCCAGTGGCGATCCAAATCCATACTTGGCACTCAAGGTGGCTGCGGCCAGCTGGACATGATGGGGATGGGGATGCGGGTGGTGTGGATGCGGTGGATATGACGACTGGTGGGGATGTCCATGGAGATGGGGCATATTCTGGCCCAAAGGCGACAATTGGGGCTGCATGTCCTTGGGAGAGCCAATCGATCCTGGACCTCCAGAACCCGGATTACCACCACCATTGGCACCACCATTGGAACCTCCACCACCACCACCACCTGGCACTGGTGATTTGTTGAGCGTCTTGGGCTTGCGACGTGGTCGATACTTGTAGTCGGGATGTTCTTTCATGTGCAGGGCCCTGTAAATTGAGCAAATGTTGAAACACTGATCAAAAGATCGAACGATTTAAACTTTGATGATATCATAAAGCCAGCGAGCCATCTCTGGTCGTAAAACCCCTTAAGAGAGAAGCGGAACCCTTCCATAAACCAAAACCCCCCCCCCCCACTTGGAGATACAAAATGCACAAGTTTATGTGGTTGTGTATTTAGCAAAGAACCTCCTCACCGATCCCAACTTCGATTCCCTTTCCGATTTTCCAGCTGCAACAATGCGCAATTGTTGACATTTGTTTGACAAAACGATAAAACCTGATAAAAGGTGTGTTTTGGGTCCTCCTACTCTTGTTTTACTTTCGCTTTTCTTTATTTGGTTTTCCTTTCTTTTTGGTCAGTTATGTCTGCCTTATCGCGGGTCCCGAAAAAAATATTGTTTTCCTTATCATCGCGCATTGGCAAATATTTGTACAGAATTTTTTGGTTCTTTTCATTCGATATGCTCGCTCGAAAACCCCGAATGGCCATTAGTTTAAGCCCCTTCAGACGAGCCCTGCTCATTTATTATTGTCATAAAATGTACATAAAATTTCACATTTCCATTTTGGCAGGCCAATCCAATCAATAAAAGGATTATGACAGTGCAAACACGGAGGTTCGTCATCGTCAAAGACCGCACTATCTAAGAAGGTGTAAAAAGAGCAAGAAGGTTACCTATTTATTTCTTAGATATGACTTTTCTAGGTATTCTTGTTACTTGTAGGGGACTGAACTAAAGGAACTTAAACTATATTTAAAAGCTAGTTTTGATAAAAAATACAATTATGGAGGTCCTTTTTCTCAATCGTTTATTTTTCACATCAAGTATCCCTTTTTTGAAATCTTTTGAAACCCGTCTTTAAAGAATTTATGAAAACTATGTTTCACATATTTTCTAAAAAGTGTTCCTTTGTTGAGATTGGTAGTTAAGTTATACATTAATCCCGACGGATATCTCTATTAAAACTAAACCAAACTGAAGGTGCTAAAACCCCTTTGATAGGGTACACTAAGGGTAAACAAAAAGAAGCAAAATGCAAAATGAATGAAGCATTTCATGCGACGTGTCGTCTCTCTTTTGTGTGACAACTTGAATTGAAATGTTTACCCAAGATATGCCAGTGCCAATGAAATTCTGACTAAGCAGAGCGGACACAATCCCCGGCTCCGGAGCTCCACAATGCAGCAGGAGCTCCTCACAATAGGGAGCCTTTGTCTTAGCTAATCGATCAAATTTTGTGGCCAGTCGGCACCGGGAGAGAATGAGCTGCCAACTGGGAAAACTGTAACCGAAACCAAGCTGGAATTTCCCATTTACCCTCTTCTTTTAACTCCCGACTAAGCCTACACAGAAACAAATAATAAGAAAACAATCCTGTAAATTGAACTATTTCTAGTTTTAATACATTTTGTTTAAATGTTTTAAGTTAATATACTTGAAAATTCGATTTCTCTGAAAATGATATCCCAATCTAATACAATTCAAAGGGAACATAATTTCTAAGTTCCTTAAGATGAAATATATTATTAGGTAATTTTTTAATATAACTACATTTGTGGTAAGCTTTTTTAAAATACTTTAATTTTTTATAGTCATTCTTGTGAAAAATACTTGCACAATAAAGAAGAATATAATCTAAAAAGTAGAATTTATCCCATTCAATTTTCGTTTTTCCTAACATTATAAAGAACGGAATCTACAACCCATAAATTCATATGGTAATGCATGAAAATGGTAGTTCCTTTCTTTCTTTTTCACGCCTATAAACTTTTTAGTATAAATACGTAGTTCCCACAAGTATGGATTAATTAAAAATCCCTTTATTAAGTTTAGCTAAGTTAGAAATTAGTTAGGAACCTAGTTTCTGGCTTGTTTCTTTCCAGTGCATTTTAACCAGGGCCCAGTGAACAGCACTTACCGCAATCGTTTTGCCTCGTCGATGAATGGACGCTTCTGTCCTTCGGTGAGTAATTTCCACTCGGCGCCCAGGCGCTTCGATATTTCGGAATTGTGCATTTTTGGATTGTCCTGGGCCATTTTGCGGCGCTGCCCCCGCGACCATACCATGAAGGCGTTCATTGGTCGCTTAATGTGGTCGTGGCTGTTGCTGTTGTTGTGATGGGATCCAGGATTTGAATTCGAGTGGGAGTTTTGGTGGGCGCTGGCATGGTGGTGTGGGTGCTGGTGCTGGTGGTGCATTTTGGGCGGTGCCACTGGTGTGGGTGGGGTAGCCGCCGTCGAAATGGCGAGGTCAACTGGAGGCAATATTGGCGGGGTGGTGTTTCCCGATCCCGAACCACCGACCATGCCCAGACCCAAATTGATGCCGGGCAACTGCGGTGAGAGACTGCTGCTGTGGCTGTGATTGCTACTCCCGCTGCTCGTGTAGCCGTTGCTGTGGCTGTGACTCCGGTGGAGCAGCGCCGAGATGCTCGCCATGATTCCGGGGGGCTCTTCAATGGCGGCGGCTCCAAATGGGACTTCAATGCTGGGTTGCAGGTGGTAATTATCAGGTGGTACTGCTGCTCCTCGAGCCCTGAAATGCCAACGGAAATGGTATTCAATAGATATGCCTTGTTAGCTTGGGGACACAGACCGCTGCTTCCCGCATGAGTCATTTGATTCGACTTTTTTCGTGTGGGGCAAATACTGCAAATAGTTCTCCGAAAAATTCACAATGGCGTTTCTTTTACCCCTTTTAATGTGCGTTAAAGGGGGCTCAAGAAGGCATTTCGGTTTGATGACGAGTTAAAATAAATATTGGCTTACTTTTTGAACCGGGTTTTGTGACCAATTGCTAATTTGGGGATTTCCCTTAAAAGGATATCAGGAAAAATGTGTTTCTTTAACCATTTGAATATTACCAATACTTTGGGTTATAAGATCCTAAGAAAACATATATTATTTAACTCTGGTAGGACTCAGATTTAAATTTAAATGGATACAGTATGCAAATTTGACCATATAGTTTTAAGAAACAGAATATAACTATAAGAAACGTAACCCAGCTTAAATCGTTTTAACATTTAAAGCTTCTAGTGTCTTAAAGCCAAAAATTATTTTTATTCTTCACAAAATTCTTATTTTTATAAGAAGTTTCTTAACTGCACAAGGTATGGTCAATCAAATTCGAATTAAAATGAGACGGTATTACGATATATATGTTGTGGTTAGAATAAATCATCTATGGAAAAGTGAAGACATGGGTTATTACAATTTTCATACGGTTTATATTTGGTTTAATTTGATTTAATTAAGCTAATTAAAAGATCAATAACATTAACATTAACATTTTTGGATCCTAATTTTACTTCTTCTTTATAAGAGAAATGCTTGGAACTTTTTGAAAAATCTATATGGTTTATCTACTAATACTAACTTCATCCGTGTTTATTTTAACGTATTCAACACGTTTATATAAAAGCCTTAGTAACAAAAACCTTTGTGTTTTGGAAGGTTTCTTAATTCCAAATTTGAATACAAGCGTTATATAGTAAACACAACTTACCGTACAATTTTAAAATAGCTCTGTTTCTAACACCTTTTCAATATTAATTCCAGTAGATATTTTCCACTCAACTATTAACTATTAAAGTTCACAAAAGTTTATTATGCGATCGTTTTTTTATTTATAATGATTTAGCTCTCAATTGTTGATCACTTTTTGAAGTCTTAAAAACGCACGTGTGCACAGATTTGCATTGTTGAATATTTTCCAAACAGTTCAATAATTTTGGAGTCCTCAATTTACGAACTTATGTAGTATCTTAACCGTTAGATTGCCGTTTCACCGTTAGCCGAGCGCAACGCGTCCGTTTCGAGTGCGCGACAGTTTAGATTTGAAAACACATTCGAAAACTTGCGACAAAAACGGCAAACAAACGCAACAAAAAGGGGCAAGAAGAAGAGCAGTGGGTGTATCTGTGTGTTTGTGCTGGGGTGTCTCTGTAGTGGTTGGTCGCTCCTGCCTCAAACTAAGTGGGAGCGAGATGGAGAGCGAGATAGGACAGCGAGAGCGAGAAGGCTAGCGCGAGGAAGCGAGAGAGAGCGCACTTTTTGTAGAGTTTTTTACACCTTCGCTTCGGAGGACGCGTCAACGTGGCGGCTAAGTGATAAAAATTCGCTGCTGCTGCTTTGTATCTTTGTATCTGCGTTTTGTATCTTGTTGACAATCGTCTCGGGTTTGTTTTCGGTTTGTATGGGCGTTTGAATTCTTGTTTACCGAACGCTGCTCCTTGCGCTCCTCGCCAGTTTATAATATCTGCATTTATTCAATATCATCCCAATTTAAAATAATTTCGGGTCTTTGCGATCGCTATCCATAAACCACTTATATGTTGAATATATGAAGATATTTTATTGTACAAGTATAATCTACTGTAGTCTACTGTTTTTACCATGCAAATGTGATTTTTTGTATAAAAAGATCTTTATAATCCTATTATTTTATAACTAATAATTTTACAATGTTATTATTTTGAATAGTAAAGATTTCAATAAAGTTAGGGTAAGGTAATAGATCTTTTGTAAGTCCTTATAATTTTAATTTTAATTTTTCCTGAGATGAAAGCAACTATTCATAAGACATGAGATAAAATCTACAGTTTATGTGACTAATATATTCAATTTCCAGTCTTATAGTTGTGGCTTAATTTTTCACAGTGTATTAATTTGGTGTTTGCTTCCACAATCGATCGGTGGCTCATTTGGCTTGTTTGCCACAAACTTTGGTGCTGGTAAGGTTGTCCCTTTTTGTTGGCGGGGTCGTCCCATTCAATTGCCCTCCTTGTTTGTCACACACAGGAAACTCCCCATTCCCGATTTTGTTGTACTAATATCGGTTTCTGTATAATTGCAACCATAAAAAATCCCTTGATCCGTTAGTAGAACAACCTTTGTACATTTGCTAAAATTTCTTATAAATGGCCCTCTTTATAATTGGGTTCAATTTTCCTTTAAGGGAGAAGTTCCCTTGCCGAGTACTTAGAAATTAGTCGGATTTCCTTGTGTTAACAGTGTAATGTCAACAGAGAATATGTAATAAATGTTCTAACAATATTGTCGGGCTAATCATTTTTCGATCGAAATACATTTGACTTAAATATACTAAGGAAATAAGCGGAAGTGATAGACTGCAAAATGTCTAAAAAATGTTTAAATAAATAAAATGTATAGCTTCAAATTTTCATTTGCTTGCTTGCTTTTTGCTTGAATATTTTTCTTTGAAGTAAAAAATATATTTTCATGGGAATGCTCTATAGTAACGGTTCCTCGTAATAGTTAGGTTGGTATTAAAATACAAATTATTCTAGAATTTTTTGTAATAAAACGCTCTATTCTCATCAAAAATCCATTTTGCTTACTTGTTAAATAGTGATAAAGTATTTTGATTTTCGGTAACTTATAAAAACGTTAACACTTAATAGATTAAGAAATTTGCTTCGCATTCCTGTGGCGATTTAAAAAACAACTGTTGGCGCCATAAAAAGATATCTCGCCAGGGGGTAGTTTTGCGCAGGCGTCGCTCTCCAAATGGTCGTAACTGTTGTAGACTTTCAATCCCCGCCACCCCCAACTTACCCCTCATCTCACCCCTTCTCCATATTTTACTTTACCAAAACAAATGCTAAGTGGGAAACGCATTTGGCGGGCTTCCCCCTTCTCCATCGAACGACAATAAAAATGGCAGCGCTCTGGAAATGTGTGTGTGCTCCCCGAACCCCAATCCCCAAACCCCCAACCCTGAGACCCCCTAAAATACACCCCCAACACCCACTGCCAACCCCTCCTCGCACTTTTGTAACTGCGCGCATGTCGATTTCAGGCGCTTTGGACCAATGGCGTAGACAATGCTCCGGGAAGTGAGGACCGGGGAATGGGGGCCGCTGCTTAGAAGCGTTCTCAATGGTGACACGTTTTTTTTCGCTTTTTGTTTTGCATGCGAATTGAATGCATTTTATTGGCCAAAAGCCAGAACAGACGGGCCCGAAACAAAGGCGCCAGCAACTGGTGGTCCTTGGTGAGAGCCTGCCTAAAGAATCGTCTTATCTTCCGCTGGCAGAGCAGCAGGATATTCGGCTCGAGGACCCTGGACCCTCCTTTATTTGTTTCCTAGTAATGGACATTATGACTGGCCTATTATGCGGTCATCTCCCAGCACAATGAAGAGCAGCAAGTGCCGGCAGTAAAAAGCATAGTTGGGTGTACATATATACCTTCCTCTAATGGATATTCAGGAGGAATTTGAAACAAGTAGCTGATAATAAAGAGCAGTGGTAATATAAATTGAAGATTATTTTCCTCTACTCTAAAAATATCATAGCCACACAAAACTATTTTTTTCTGTCAGTGCTGTAAGCGTTAAAAAACTAGCAAAAAGCTTTATGGCTAACTTCTCAACACTGTTCCACTAACACATCCCCCATATTCCTTTTCTCCCAGCGGTCATAATTTTTTGGTTGTTTTTTGAAATGACCCACCGCAGACCATCGTAGCATTGTTTGCCTGCGTTTAGTTGCAATAATTTATGGTGGGGATTTTAACAGCATAACGTCGCACAAATTTTTTTGCAAACTCTGGCATACCCGGGTCTTTCTATCTCGTTTGTTCCTGCTTTCTTTTTGGTTTGAGTGGACCAAAAGTGGGAATTGTGCCCGCGCTAATCGTGATTTGTGTTTTAAATGAGGCCAAATGCAAAGCAGTCGAATGAGGAGGCTGATAAGAGAGGAGCGCTCAAAAAAGTTAAAAAAACGGGCAGACACAAAAATAATTTGGAACTACGAGCTTTTTTGGCAAATATTTTACGATAGGTAAACCATTAAATTTGAAATAGTCAAACCAAAAGGCTACAGAAGTCTTAGACCAAAACCGAATTTAATTTTTAAGGGCATTTGTCCCTAAATTAGGTGAGTACCGAAAAATTCAACATTGTTACAGAAAACATACCGTAATTTAAAATAAAATTGAAACATTGCTCCCTTTTATTTTATTGTAATGATATCAAATACAGGTGAATAACTAAACTAAAACTTTTGCATCTTAAACAAATTGTTTGCTAAAACAATAAACAAAAAAAAAACATTAAAATAGATTAAAATTGTGGAAAATGAGCTAGTTTGCAAATACATCGAATGTTCACTGTACTTAAAATAAATCTACATGGTTTATTGATGAAATGTGCGACACCATGCGGCGGCGCACAGAACAAGTTAAATTTACATGACATGACGCTCAGTGACTGCAACGACACCTATCGGCAGAAATCGGTAAGTACCTTATTAGATGCGCTGTCGAAAAATTAATCAGGTTCAAGAGCAATCCGATAGGTGCCGCTATTGTAAGTTTGGGATGCATAAACCGTGTAGATAAAAACCCTTTTATTAACCTTAGTCTGGACACAAGCCATATTTTAAAATGTCTCAGAAATGTTAAGATGGATCCAAATCAAACAGCACTGTTAAGAAAATCTTAACATTTCTGTTAGAAAACGTTGCATCTTAACATTTCATGAAGAGGAAGAACACATGGCGCCTTGATTCAAAAATATTGCACTTTTAAGCTTGATAAAAGTGTAGGAACAGAGAAGTATGAATAAAATTCAATTTAAAAATTTGTATATTCTTTTTTATTGTGTTTTTCACAGTTTTAAATGTTTATTAAATTGCTGTATGATGTTCTGTTGAATCGATTTAATTACAAATTTATTAGTCTAAATGCCATTGCCACAATGATTGGTTGCAACCTACCCCCAAAAAGTAGAGACTCCCACAATTACCACTAATTGCCGGCGCCTAAGAGAGCGTAAAATTAATTAAATTTACTTGGATTTTTGCACCTCAACTTGCGCGCGCCCATTAATTAGTGGCCAACGGTAATTTCGCTGGGGTTCAAACTTGAACGTTAAGTTGCCGCGGCTGCTTGAGCAATTTATTTTGCCCCGCTGCATTCTGTCAACCTGATTGGCCAGAAGTTGTCGTTATTAGGAAGCGTTTAGCGTTCTTGACTTTTGCCAGCCGACCTTATGCACCCACATAAAAAAAATTGAGGACAAATATCATCCCAATTACGAAACTTAATATGATTTCCCTTTCCCACCATTACAAAAATCAATCGAAATATTTGCTGCTGATGACAATGCGTCTTTTATTTTTTGTTTTTTATATTTTTTCTGGTTTCTGATGTATGTATATATTTTGTGTGTATTTTGCTTTGTTTGTGTGTGTTTAGTGTAGAATTTAAATACATTTAAATTTAATTTTAAATTTATGCTATGCACTTCTATCTGCGTTTAAAACATAAAAAAATTGCACCGCTCGTTGTTGTTTCAATTTGTTGAAATATTCATCTCGTTTTTGCTAAGTGATTTTGCCTCTCTGTAATCCTTTTTCTTATCCATCCATCGGATTCCTCTCCATTTTCTTGCTTGCTCTATTTTAACAAAGCTTAAGTTTAGTTTACAACTGGAGACTTAAATGTAAATGTTGGCTACGTTTAACTTTAATCTCGCATTTTCGGTTGTATTCGTTTTACCCTTTTCGATATATCCTTTTCGGGGTAAATACACCTTGGTTCTCG